TTTTTGTTTGATAGTGAATGTTTTTTCTTTTATGAAGTTTAGTGAATTGTCTTTCAATATTGTATGTATTGCATTTAACCATTTGTATTGTATAGTATTGTGTTGTGTTTGTTCTAGGTATGCCTGTTTTGTTAAGATTATCATCTGGGAGTTTCTTTATATGCAACCAGTAATTAATAGCTTGAACTTTTGCACTGAGTAGTAGTGGATAATGATCCACCTTTGCTCTTGTAAGATTTGTTTGCAGAATTTAATATTGATTTTTTCAATTGATGTTTTGTCCCATTTAGCATTGTCCTGAATGTCCTGCAAGTCTAGGGCCCATAATTCTGAGCCATAAAGCAAAATTGGTTTTATGTAAATGTTAAATAGTTTCATTTTTAGTTTTATGTCTAGATTTCCTAAAAGTACTTTGTTCATGATGTAAATTGATTTTCCAGCTTTACCTGCTAAATTTGACATGGCATCAGCAAAACTCCCATTTGATTTTATTGTGATTCCTAGATATGTATAACTGTTATTTGAATGTTATCATTTCCAAAATTGAATTGGTATTTTTTTCTCAATGTTGATGAACCGAAGATAACAAGTTGAGTTTTTGAAAGGTTCACACTCAATTTCCACTTATTGCAATATTCATTTAGTGTATTTAATGATGTCTGTAGACCAGCCTGGGTAGTGGAAATAAGGGCTAAATCATCTGCATATAAAATAGAGTTAACAGTGTTATTATTCAGGAGTGGTGGTTCAGTATTAGCAATATCCAAACTATCCTTTAAATCGTTAATAAAAATGTTGAAAAGAGTTGGGCTAATTATACATCCCTCTATTAATAGTGAATTCTTTGGTTATATAATTATTTATATTAATGCAAGCTTTTGTTTTTGAATACATGTTTTTTATTATTTTGTAAATCTTGCCATTAATGTTATTTTTTAATAGTTTATAGAATAGCCCTACTCTCCATACCGTGTCGAATGCTTTGGCAAAATCTACAAAACAAACATAGAGTTTTTGTTTATTTTTAATGTGTTTTTGAATTAGAGTTTTTAATACAAAAATTTGATCAGTTGTTCTGTGGTTTTTTTCTGAAGCCAGTCTGGTTGTTTTTGAGTATTTTATTTTCTTCAATGAAACAGTTTATGCGTTTATTTATAATGGAACAGAAGACTTTACCAATACAACTTGAAACAGATATTCCCCTGTAATTTTGAGGGTCTAATTTGTCTCCTTTTTTATAAAGATATAACGATTTTTTTATATTCAGATGTGATTGTTCGCGCTTATTTGATCAAAGACCTCCCAACCCCTACAAAAAATACCTAATTGAAGCTTAGTAACGTCTCAGTTTAGACTTGTTGGCTAGCATGCATACGACGACCACCGCTCTATAATAATTTGATGTGTTTTCCAAGGAAGTACAGTTGTTGATGTCGAAGTCTAGGGAAACCAGCAATTAATAACCCAAGCAAACATATGTACATGTGTGATCCATCATGCGTGTGGAAATACTATGCCGTGCCCAGGAGCTGATCCTGGCCAGCAAAATGTAATGGGGGTGGGGGTGGGGGTGGGGGGTGGGGGATGGGGGTTGGGGGTTGGGGGCGGGTGGGGATTGGAAGATTCGCTTAAAATTTACGAAGCGTAAATCGCAGAGAAGCTATGCGTAGTCCAGATGATATGAATGATCGTTTTTTTTTGGGGGGGGGGGACATGGCCCCCCTGGCCCCCTTCTGGATCCCATCAAGAAAGGCCTCACACTTACGTACACAATGTTTAAAAACTGATATACTTACACTGCACCGTTAATTGTATATAATCCACACCGTCACCAATTTCACCATTATGGAAAGTGTTACTGGCATCGCACAGGTACATCCCTTCGTCTTGAACTCTCACTTCCTCGATCACAAGCTGTGATTGTCGTATGCGTGTTATTCCAGTCGGATCCAACCATTCAATGGCAGATTCAGGATTTGAATCAACCGTACAATTAGCGATGTAGCGTCGTCCCCTGATTGCCATTCCTTTGCTTTCGTCCTGTATTTTTACTATAGGTTTGTCTGTTGTAAAATATGTGGGTTAAAAATAGGGTGAAAATAAGTATCTGAAGTAGGAACCACTAGCATGTGTTACTATGACTACGGTGTTGATGTTTTTAGAATCAACATCTTAATATCATATATGCATAAAGCACGTGTTGCCCAATATTGTAGCGATCAAATATGTCAATGAGGTTTGATGCCTATTTATTTATTAATTTATACTGACTTTGCTTAATGTGGTTACCCAATTCACGATACATACATCATAGAAAACAATCGCTCGTTGAAAATTGCAATGACGTCAACAACACCGAAAAATGAAAATAACAAAAACATTCAACAGGCAAAGAACGTAAGTGGCAATCAGCACGAATAACATTACGGTAACCGACACTGTAAAACTACATTCCATGCCAATCCATTAATAACATACGTCTCGATGACTGGGATATTGGCAACGTTCCATTCGGAACATTCGAATAATTATAAACTTACACTGAACGTTAAGGTGTATCGTCGCATTACCATATCCTTCGTCTCCGGTATAAAGCGTGTTTTCTGCCTCACACGTGTATGCTCGCTTGTGGTTTTTAGTAGCTCTTATTATTCGAAGCACCTCCCCATTAACGTCTACCCCTCCTCCGTAATTCACCCAAATTCCAAAAGTATCAGGATTGGCTGATACATTGCAAATAGCTACGTAGTCTCGACCTTCGATAACTGTCGTGTTACTGGCATCCATAATAGTGACATCAGGAGAATCTTTATATAGAAAAATAATATTCAAACAGTGTCATAAAAACATGCATAGTTATGCGCAATAATTTGTTTGTGTTGGTAGTGCTTTCAATATTGTCATTTTTAGTTGTACGCATGCGCACACAGATAACAAATATGGCGACAGTCTTAGGCGCCACGCCCAATCATTTTGATCGTCACACTAGAAGAAATATGATAGTATGCTGTATTTGCGACGAATAGTTACTGAAATGTACAACTAATTTTAAGCGATTATTGATTGAAAATATGACAAAAATGTTCATTCAAACATATTGCATTGCATTGTTTGAGAAATTTATGCTTTACGATACAAAATGTAATTAAAAATATTATATTGAATGGTAATGTACGTGATGTCATGTTCCAAGTTAAAATACACTTACATTGTACATCTAGTTGAACGTTCGCAGTGCCATTGCCTTCTTCGCCATTATAGTATAGATTCGACATCACACACTTATATTGTCCACTTTCACTTCTGTCTATATTGTTGATTGTTATGTTGCTACTGTTTGCGATGATGTAATCGAATGGATTGGTCCAATATATGCGTTCCAATTCAGGAGGATTACCGTAGTCAACAATACGACAGTCACTGGAAAATGTTTCTCCTTCGACTAGAGGAGTGATACTTTCAGCTGAGGTTTCTACTTGCGGTGCATCTACAGTAAATGCAATTGATTATCTCAGTTAGTTGACAAATTATGCATATATGTTCAGTCAAATCTAGAGAGATTGACATCTAATTTGTACGACAATCAGAGCTTAAGATCAAGCAAAGACGAAGTTCACAATGAGCTCCGACGATCACTAAAACTGTATATCCCCCGCTGCTGGGGAGAACACTTGTGTTATCATTATTATTTTACCGAGTAAACCTTAAAATAGTTCTTCCAAGACAGCCACGTAGAGCTGAATGCATGGCAGACATTCATTGTATGTCTCGTTTTATACTTCATGTTTTTTTTGAATCTACAATTTCAGTCGAATGATGTTCCAGTTCCTATCAAAATTCCGGATCTTAATCTTAGTTAGGCATTGGAATATGTTTGGATGTCATGGCCATTGGGTATAAGAGTATTTGAATGCACCAATGGTCCAGAAATTTGATTTACTATGAATTTGATATTTTCTGACTCATGAGAGTGTTAACTTGTGAAATCATTGTAACTTATAATACGACGTTCAATAAAATTGGAATGTTTTGGATCGCGAGGCATACCCAGCAATGAAATGAACATGACACAGGGACTATTTATCTAATGAATATTGACATCGACATCCAATGTACGGATGTAGCTTGATATCAGAGGATATATATTCGTTATTGTTCATACAACGACAATTTTGGCAAATAATAAATCGAAAGAGGTCAAAGGGCAGACGATCCTTCAACGTTGAATAGTTACCTGTCTTAAAATGTACAAACAAATTTCTTGATAAATAGATTTAAGTGTCCGTTCTTAAAAATATCTGAAATCCATTATGAGATGTCCATTTGTTGATGTTCTCAGTGATCGTACCGTAGGCGAGTAATGAATCATATTGCCAACACGCGAAATAGTAGATGTAACCATATTACCTATTAAATTAATTATTTTAGTGTAATTTTAATTGGTCAATTTGATGGAATTACAAACTGAAACATATTCGTATGAAGAAGAGATTCTAAATATATCAATCGATTAAAGTTAACTGAGCCAGCGTTCCATTGCGTAGGAATAAACACATTTTAATAATACATTTAAAGTATCGAAGAATGTTAATTAGCACATTCTTATCTCTAGAATTGCAATCTATTTTCTGATTATGCACATTTCATTTCATAAAGATATATGTTACTTACATTGGACGTCCATCGTGATCTGAAGATCACATGACACCAACGACCACTGATTCGACGGCAGTGTATAGTGTTCCAGCTGACAGTCGATGTAGCAATCGGTGTCTGCTCGAGTGAACGTAGTATTCCAGATATTGGTCATGGATGTTTCGCGAGATACTTGAATTCCGTTCTTGTACCACACCAGGTCTCCAGGGGCGTCGCTACTCAGATCCATGGAGCAAGTGAACACTGTGTGCTCACCGGCGATGACAGTCATTCCTTTATCGACACTACAAGTCGTACCATTCTCTGCAAAAACATAAAATAAATACTGCAACGTTACGTATTACCCAATTATGAAACAAATAACATCGGACATTAGTTACTTAATGTTTGACTCGTCTGACATACTTTTGACAGGAATTTTAAGAACTTTTGCTCAATTTTTCAATCTAAGAATAACCGATCGATTGGGGTGAAAATCATCGAAATGAAAAAATTACTATTTTTTGGGAAATCACAAAGTTATTGATTTCATAGCTACTAGCAATTATGGTAGGTAATTAAGTTTGTCGCAGTTATTGCAACTTTAACTGGTGTCGAATTTTTGATAATAAATAGCAATGGTTTGAAATGAGCAAACACAAAATATACTAAACTTGTGTATTCTCATCTGCCCAGTTGTCAAAAAATCACCCTTCATGGCCATGGTCTTGTACTAGCAAACATTGTATAAGATGTCCATTTTCGGACGTATTAAGTATTTTATAGTACATTGATTGCGAATGAATACGCGTTGGAACAATCTCTCCAAAAAGACAATATTGAACAAATCTCGGAACTGAAATTCAACTATCATTCAACTTTATATTCCATATTGCAATAACCGACATCGATATAATCACTCATAAAAATTGGAAGTATATCATATATAATATTTCCGAATATGTAAGTGTCCCACATTTTGAAACGTAATCGTTAAAATCAGAAGCAAATATGTTATAATGACGTAATCAATAGTATCTCGGCGCTTTTTATTACTCTTTTGATCAATAATTTTGCAATGAAGAGGTCAAAAGGTCAAAACAACGGCTTTAAACATCTTATCGAATAGCTGACCAGGCATAAGTGATGTGTTCGATGCATGCATAATATAGGATATTGATTTCGTCAAAGTGGTTTTCGTTTACCACACCATTAAATATACGCGTTATTCACGCTGAGACAATGTATTCTAATAATATATTCTTTACAATGACAAGCATTTGAAGATCGTACAGACCTATTACATATATGCGCGCAGAGGCTCTGGAAGAAAGGTCGGCAAAGTCCCCACACTCGTAGATATCCTGCTGATCCACTGTTGCATTGTGAATTTTCAAATGGAATTCTTGCTCTTCGCCAACTATCTCGTATCTGTCATCTTGGTATGTAACTATTCTTCCCAATGATATCCCTTGCTTATTCTCCCCTTTGTACCACGCTACAAAAAGGGGCTCGTCGTAATAGCTACAGTTCAATTGCACGGTATTTCCGAAGATGACGAGAGTCGGGACGGGAACTTCTTTGAATGCGTGTATTCGTGAATGCACGATCGCACCTATGAATTGACAAAAAACAACAACAAATAATCAAGTTTCCCGAAACATTAATCAAACTTTGTATAATTACCAATGGTATTATTTCCTCGTGCAGACAAAGTATGTATCCTCGACTTCCCCGCAAAACGAAACCCTGCATTTGTTATGAGTGTGGATGAGCAACATCTATGGACAATACAAAATAAACGCAGCTCACCTATAAAGATCATCAGAATCACAATCTGCTCGTATTTACATACATCCATGATGGGAGAAAAGAAATGGTTGATCGCCACATAAATCAAGTCCTGTAAGTAAACGTATCAGGGCGTAACCGAAAGTAAGAGGCGAATGACACCACCACACTGTAGCAAGTAAACAACATCCTTGAGTCCGTGTATGTGGAGATATCGCTTACAATTTTAATATTATATTTCTTTGCGGGGCGCTGCATAATATTTGTGAAATGAGACGACCTGGAAGAGAACGAACGCGATTCATTCCTGTACATTGGTACGGTTAGTGCGTTTCAATTCATCGACATATTGTCAATGATATATAATTTGAATTGGGGAACGCGTATGTCATTTCCGTCTGGGGTTATACCAAGCGCACATGTCGAGTTTGTTTTAACCACGGGGTTTTGTCTATGTATTTACCCACTTGATCGTGTTGAGTTAACCGTGTTAAAATATGCACGCAATTCTTTTATTTACCAGGTCTGCAGATCACCACGTATTATCTCTATTACACGGAGGTCGTAACACGACACGAGTTCGTCGTCGATGGGGTTCTCGGTATATCGTTATACACATCATGTACCAATCAGGTCATTGCCGTTAGCGATAACCGCCGACTAGTCGAAATACCAGCGCCGTGCACAGGCACTTTTGACGTATGTTGTAATGCGATTATCCCAGCATTTTTATTATTAAACAAGTGTTCTATTAAATAACGCTGCACAGGCCTTTAGAGTCTGAGTTCACTGACTTTAGACAAACGTTTTAGTCGATTTCACGCATCGATATCATATATCTATATCACTGGATTACTTAATCACGTTTTTGATTAGTGGGATTATTATGTCTCGCATAACTGAGGCGTGCCTAGCAGTTATATACTGTAATGCAAACACTATACCCGTATCTAAAAGTTGGTATCGCTCTATCAGATATAAGACTGACATGAAGCAATATGTAAGTATAAATTTGTATTTTGAAATGCTGATTCATGTGTTATTTAAACCCCTAATTTTTTTATTTTACCTTTTTCCAAAAAACCTTGCAGTGTGTGGATAACGAATTACGCAATCAACGGTCGTAGTGAACACGTGTACTACGATATAAATATCACCAACTACGGCAAACATACGTTGTTATTGTTTCCCGTCACGTCTAATGACAATTGCCGGTGTTAACGAGTAATTCATATCCAACCTTCATTATAGAATTTATGAAATGTACTCGTTATATAATATGCAATAACATCACAAGTCCGATATTTGTTACTCTAAACCCAAACAAGTTCTGATTCTGAAAAGTTCTCATTGGGGGGGGGGGGGTCTGAATTTATTTAGAAATTCCTTGAATCTGTTTCAGCTGGTAATATGTGTTGGGTTCCATTTAAAACAATGAAGAGTTTTAAAAAATGACGTCTATGACTGACCAGTTAGCGATCTTGTGCCATTAGCGATGGGGTAAAGATAATAAATAAGGCGCTCAATCCACAGTTTCATGTCAGATGTTACGTACATCGTCACGAGAGGGCGCACAGCAGTTTGTAAATGTACCTGGTTAGGCAGTGGGAGCCTTCAATATACGATATGTCGGAGCCTGAATTTCACACGTATCTGTGGATTGTGGAATAAGGTTGTATTATTTGCCACGCTCCATGTGCTGATTTAAATACGCCACATATCACCCGAGGAACGGAAGAGCTGGATACTCAAGAAAGAGATTGACTGAAGCATGGCCAGCAATGCCCTGTACAGCTATCACGGCTTACACTAAAACCCACAAGCACACTAATGCAGTCAATATGCAAAGCAAGAAATAGACCCAAACAAACTAATGTATACGAGAATTAAAGCGGGAGGGTCGTCACCTGCGCACGCGCGGGAATTGAGTTCCAAGCGACGATAACAACGCACGCAAAAAACTCAAAGACTCACCGATAGACGCTTTCTTGTAAACAATGACACGCTATGGCCATCTGACGCATGCGCAGGTGACGATTCCTCCGCTTTAAACCTTCTTGCTGAAAGTTAAATATCAAAAAAAAAAAAAAAAGTGAAACATCACGGGCACAGTGCCAACATCCGATATTTTTCTATGCAGGGGTTATTCTGGATTTACCTAAGCATGAACATGCACGTACAAAAGTTAATACATATATCAGAACATCGGAATTGCATTAATTACATTTGATAATTCTATCTAATACGTTTAATGTCGAGATACCTACACATACAACTATATGAGAACTCTCAATTTAAAATTAGATTTAAAAGAGTTAATTATTCATTGGGTTTTAATTTTCCTTATTTCGCTGACTCGAAATGCGCTAAATTAAAACCCAGTGAATATGTAAAATTTAGCATCATCTAAATGATAAAACCGTGCATTTGAAATGGTAAATCAGCGAAATTTAAACCAAGTGAAAATTAGTCATTTTACATTACACATTTTAAAAGAAAATGGTTGTGTTGAAATGTACAAGATTTGTGAATAAATATAACGCCAATAACATTTCTGGACAACGTCAAAATAAATGTAATTTACACTGAACGTACTCCGCGTACACGAAGTGCACAATAATATGTATTATACAGTTAACGTAATGATCAGTTATCTATCTGTGTGTATGTTATTTAAGATCAGCATAAATTATCATGTATTAGTGCATTTTTTTTGTTCCGCCCAAATTAATGAGTGGTTATTTAGAACTAAAATTTCTGTTAGTTCATGGTGGATTTAATGAACAACAAATAATTGTATTGCACTAAGTGCATTGTGATGGTTACATGTCGGATATCCTTCCATCAGTGGCGACGGCACCCTCAAAATTCCGTGCCGCCGCGTCTGTTCCAGTTGTGTGACGGTTATGCGGGGAAACGTGAGGGTTTCTTTCCCTCTGCTATACAAACTAACTGGAACCGGAACCGGAAATGTAATTTTATGCAGTGCAAGCTTCACAAAACTCCCACACATGCGATATATTTTGAATGCAGTACCACTTGTCACCCCATCAAACTGAAGCTGTTTTTGACAGTAGTTGTTATGCAAATGTTCTACTAAAGGTAGAACCTGTCCCACTACAATCCAAATGTGTTGTTTTTTAAGATAGTGACTCGTGATAAAGGTAGACCCTGCCCAAGTACAGCTCAACGGTTTGGCCAGACCTAGTGACCTATCCTTACTGAAGGTTGAGTCGCTCCGCAGTGCAGTCCATCTTTACCTGTTAGATCATTGATGTTCTATGAAGGAGCAAACCTAATTTAATTTATATTGGATTTTGTAAGTCAGAAATTTAGTAACAACAGTGGTTTGAGTATGGAGATACTGATCTGGTAGCTCGTAAATGTATCAACCAGAAGTCCACCACTGAGGGCGCACATCACCACCCGCTTTTAAAATGATGTTATAATCGTAAAACATTAGTAGAGAGGGGGACCCCACCAAAAACCTTCTTAAACTGTAGAAAACATCACAATGGAAGTAAAAACTCAGCCTTAGAAGGAAATAGCGCCACCACCAGATGTTGAAAGTGACGTACAAAACCAAATATTTGGCCGGCGCCATCACTGGAAAAGTCGAGAAATACGCGAACCACGTGACTAAAACAGAAATATCATCATACCTATCAGGTTAGAGTACTACGGGTTGCCTCTGGTACATAATTAATAATTAATTATCATGCAATAATAACATCGCCACGGTTACATGCTGTTACATGATAATTTCATATAATCTTACCTAATACGCACATTTTTCTTTTTTTATTCTTAATTGAGTATGAATACGTGGTTGGAATTATGTCTTATTTCCAAGAGTAGCAGCATGTTAGGCCAGGAATAAAAAAAAATGTTCCTAATTGCTCAAAAGCAGAACAGAATGCACTAGAAGCATATTTAAATGTTTTTGCAACTCCCCCAAAAAGTACGGACACAAATGCATTTCCACTAATATAATTGATATTTGATGGAGTTATGACTTATATTATAATGACGAGAAATGTTTATGTTGTGCTAGTTTATATGTATATATTTCCATATTGTAAGTATTTTTATGATAGTTTTACGTTCGTTATTGTTCAACGAATATTGTGTATATGATTATTTCTAAACAGCTTGGATTGGTATCAGATATTTCAACGGAGATTGGCGGCAATGTTGACAAGTGGACCCCTGACAGGAATACCCCCGGCTGTGTATATCTGTAAGTAAGTACAATTTCATTGAATATGAACGACATATTACATTACCGCCATGGCAACGTACAGCTTTGCATTAGATAGTCACGCTGAATCGTGGTAGGGACATGTGCGATGTATTTTTTTATAATAGACATGGTATACCAAATTGTTTGTCGTACTGTTTATTTGCCTCTTTATTTCGTGGAGAATTACTTTTAACAAGTCGAACAACTGTAACATTGTCTGTTCAACAAAGTATCTTGCATTACTTGGGACGAGTTATGTTCAATGTGAAAACTTGTCACCGGGAGGTAATCTCGACTATATCGGTAGAACGTTCCTTCAGTAGTCGTCGCACATTGTACGTAGCTAGCGCTGATAATTAGAATGTTACCGGTGTTCGAGTTTTCTAAAGTTCATATAAAGTGTGGGGAAACTTTAACTTTTAGAAAATTCAAAAATATGCTAAGTACTTTAATGCAAAATAAAATATATTTATGTCATAGGAAATAATGGAAGGATATAGAAATGAAGCAAATTCAATAGACGTTCAAGAAAACAATCACACTGACCTCCATCTCTAAGGATAATACTTTCACTCTATACTGGACACTGAAGTAATCTTTCCTAGATCTGACTACCTTGGTCAGCTCCGTAGTCTTATGGGTGATGCTGATGGCGAAACTCGTAATGAAATGACTTGCTACTGAATTTGGAGAAAGCTGGGAAGTAAATTGAACGAAATGAGTTTATTAATCAATTTATTGAAAATAAATTTCAGACATCCTTACAACATATGCAAATGAGTTTGTTTACTAGAAGTGTGTGTGTATACAATTATCAAAAACAATGA